CCACATCCTGCTTGTAGTGTGGGGCCCAAAACTGGACACAGTACTCCAGGTGAGGCCTCACTAATGTCGAATAGAGGGGAACGATCACGTCCCTCGATCTGCTGGCAATGCCCCTACTTACACAGCCCCAAATGCCGTTAGCCTTCTTGGCAACAAGGGCACACTGTTGACTCATATCCAGCTTCTCGTCCACTGTAATGCCTAGGTCCTTTTCTGCAGAAATGCTGCCTAGTCACTCGGTCCCTAGTCTGTAGCAGTGAATGGGATTCTTCCATCCTAAGTGCAGGACTCTGCACTTGTCCTTATACCAGAAGTGGAGTCTGTTGGCCAGTTAGAGCGTGAAGATGCTGTCCAATAAAACACTCCTCTCTGGGTCAAAAAAGACAATAGTGGCATCAGTGGCACCAGGCAATTTCGGTTCTTCTGTTTGCATACACAGCAGGCCAGAACCTCAGCAGGTTTATGTTGGCATAGCTCCTTTGAAATTAGTGCAGCTACACTGATCTAAACCAGCCAAGGATCTGGCTCAAGGATTTTCATGTGGGTGCCCTTCTATAAGGCTGTTTACTGATCAAATTGAGGTATGACGACCAGTGCATCACTGTGAATAGCTTAAATAAAAACTTTCCAAATACTGTGGATGATTGTATGTCTATTTAGCTAACTTCTGATATTTCACCTCATATTCATTTCCATGCATGTATGACCAGGGAGCTAAGTTAGCCAAATTGCAAACATCTTTGACTTTAATACAAAACAAATAAAATGCTTTCTTAAATATTTCTTTTCATACAGTAAACTGTTTAGACCAACATGTCCATCAAGCTCCAGACAGAGTGGCTTTGATCTGGGAGAAAGATGAGCCTGGCACTGAAGTGAAAATCACATACAGGTATGGCACATTCTCTTGGATTGCTGTAAAATGGGTCTTGCATACCAATATGGCAATTTTACTGGCTAGTTAAAGAGCTGTTGCACTGAAATATTATTATATCTATATTAAATCTTCTGCCTCCTCTAGAGGCAGAGCAGTGTTGGGGATGGGAATGGACATACTGCAGGAGCACTGTTACCTGGATGCATTATCCTACATTTAACAGGTGTGGCATGTTTCTTTCAGTCATTCTGTTGCATGGGAAGTGGAGCCATGCCCCTGTCCAGAAGTGAGGCCCTGCCTGGGGCTTGTCAGAGCTCTGGACAGAATTATGTGCCCCTTTTCCTTTGCATTCTGGGTCCTGGCAGGCGATTATTTCTCTCTTTTGCATGGGGATGGGCGAGGTTCCCTGCTTTCACACACCCACAAATGAGCATATTTTAACATGAATATTCAAGGGCAAGCTCTTTGCTGGTATAAACAAGCATAGCCTTGTTGCTGTCAAAGGAATTCTGCCAATTTAGTACCCCTTCTAACATGAACAGTACTAGAAGTGGAGGCTTTCAGTCAATTAAAATGTGGAGATGCTGTCAGATTACCCACTTCTGTCATGTGAAACTGTGATGACATCCCACGCCAGGCTGGGAGCTGGGAAAATTGGTTTTATTCCCTTAGCCTCACTGTGCCTCACTTTCCCCATTTTAGAATTGGACTAATGATGCTAACCCACTGTTACAGAGAGCTTTTATTTTCCAGTTTTTCCAGCACAGTTGTACTGTGAATAATAATGACAGGGAAAAAAAGCAATCTTCTTAACTGATGGCAAACCTTGAATTTTACATGTAATTTTTCAGAACAGTAGAAATGTGTTGGTTATCTAAATATGCAAAACAATATTGAGCTGTTTGTGTATTCAAAATGTAGCCGTGGGCTGAACCGTCAGCTGCACTCAAGGCACAACCAGTTGGGTGCATCTGAAGTGGGGAATCTCAAAAGAACCATTTGCTGCTCCCTGTCTACACCTACACTGTCCCAGTGTAGTTTAGAGTAGCTTCAAGGGTGCTCTAAACCATACCAGTTTGTAATGACTCTAGGGACAGTTACATCAGCTGGGGATTAGTGGAGCACGGTAAACTTCAGCCACGCCCCTTCTCATGGCTGGCATGACCCTACATGCAGGGAGGGGTGAGGGCTACACTATCTCTATGATAGCTAAGGATTCCCCCACCTTTGGGCAATCCTCAGCAGCCCACTCGAGGCAGCTTTAAGTTTGCTTGTTCTCTTGAGTAGTGTATAGGGCACATGGTGTGTGCTGGAATCTGACCTTTATGTCTACAGAATATTCTTTACAAGGTATGGATGATTGGGATTCCTTGAATTTATTTGAACACCTGTAGGTTCTATAGTCTTTCTTAACTTCAGAATTTGTTAGTGTTGCTTTAAAAGAGGGCTGGTTCAAGTGTGTGAGCTGGTCAGTAGAAAAAACAGGACTTGCAACTGAATACATTTTATGGCAATGCAGAATTATAGTGCTGTTCAACGGTAATCATAATGAGGCAGTTATAGCAGCTATAAAATTGCTGAAGAAGTAGATTAGTTTGGATCATGGAATTACTAAACGATCAGTTCTGCAGGTGCATTATCATCTTTCTGATATGATTAGTGAGTAACTGTAGCACAAGGACAATATGTTAAGGAAACCTTGACTGATTTTTGCTAGACACATTGGCCTTGATTCTGGGCCATGTTCCATCCCTTTGTGCCAGAACCCAGGGAGACCTCCCTGTGCCTTGTGACAGGTAATGTCCCAGAGTGGAGATGTCCTTGGGTGGCATAGGATAGCATACGTATTCCTGTGCAACTCTGTGTGCTAGCCAGAAAAGCAGCTTATAAAGGGGCTCTGGGAAGCTTCTCTAAGTTAGAGCAGCCCCAGAGGTTGAGTGCTGGCCCAGAATTTGGAGGGCACAAACATAGCTTTAGGCTGTCTTAGTCACCCCCTTAGGCTTTGCCTTCGGAGCAGCGGCGGCGCGCTCAGGGGAGAAGGCGGAGATGAGCTGAAGCGATTCCTCTGCGCCCCCCGTTACTTGCTGCGACCCTCCCCGGGCCCTCCCGCCCCAGCTCACCTCCACTCTGCCTCCTCCCACGAGCACGCCGCAACTCCGGTTCCCCCCTCCCTCCCAGGCTTGCCAGCTGATTGGCGTGGCAAGCCTGGAAGGGAAGGAGGGAGGGAGAAGCGGAGCGGCGGCGGCGCGCTCAGGGAGGAGGCAGAGGCAGAGAGGAGGTGAGCTGGGGCGGGGAGTGGTTCCTCTCTCTACCCTGATATAACGCGGCCTCACCTATACCACGGTGAGATTTTTTGGCTCCCGAGGACCGCGTTATATCGGGGTAGAGGTGTATTGTAGGATAGAAGGATTATTGGGCTCAGTCATGAGTTGCATGAGCCGCCTGGACATAGTATAAGCACCTATCTGGATTGCCAGTCTGTGCCTGGGAGGGAAGGACACTACTTTTTCTTCACTCAGGTGGGCAGGGAATGGGTAGGCGGAGGGGAGGGGTAGGCACAACTTTGGCTCTACTCCCACCCCCATATGCTGGCCAGCACAGAGAGGGAAGTAAATTGCACCAGGAAAAGGGCTGGCACAGATTACTTCCCCTGTGGAGCGAGGGACTGAATTGGGGTTCTCAGAATCACAGTTTGTTTCCGGCTCTGCTCTTGGAGCAGTGCAGTGACACGCTGGCCTTTACTCAGGCTGGATTGCAATGTGCCAATCCAGCCTAACGTTACCAATTCCTCATCCCACTTTGAACTAAGGCACCACAGCACACGTGGTCCCTCTACTGTGGCTGTTGCTTGCAGCCTGCATTCCAGTTCACATGAGGACATACAGAGTCAGGCATGCAAAAGGGAGTGTTATCAGCAAAGCTGATTGTATTTATAGCAATGGAGGTAAGTACTTTTTTCTTGGAAGTTAGTTCAAATGTTTCTTTATCCAAAAAGATTGATGAAGGAATTGGCTAAAACAAACAGCTTTGTGCAGACTTTCATCTCTGCCCTTACTAGCTAGATTTAAATAGTTTTATTAGATGATATAGGACTAACTGCCATAAAGATGAATTGACTCCTCTGAAGAGGGACCTTAGCCCACGCCCAACTGTTGCTAGGAGGGACAAGCTGTCACTGTTGAGCTACCGGAGATAGCAGGTGACAAGCAAGATAACTTAGGAGAGTGGGGACAAAAGACAGAGTGATGAATTTGAAACAGAGGACAGGAATTATAAGTGATCTCTCAGTGGTGAGCATGTCCTATCCTATAGGCCACTGGAGAACATTGCTTCCTCGGGGAAGCAGTGTGGTGCAGTAGACAAGGCACTGGACTGAATATTAGGAGACCTGGGTTTTAGTCCTTGCACTGTCACTAAGCTGCTCTGTGCCTCAGCTTCCCCATCTGTAAAATGGGGATAATGAGATTTGTCTTTTTTGAAGCACTTTTAGGTACATGGATGGAAAGTGCTGTAAAGGAGCTAAGCATTGTTGGGACATGTCTGAAGCTGGTTGTCAGAGGCAATAGCCTGTCTGAGGAAGCCGGCTGTTAGAGTGAGACAAGGCATCAGGAGCAAGAGAGAGACAGCTTGATGTTCGCTGGGGAGGGAAGCCAGTGTAGTGAGAGTCAGCTGTCCAATTGCATGTTTGTGGTAAGGCACTCAATCCGGTCAGGTGCTTTTCGCCCTCAGCTCCCATGGAGACCATTGGGTACAGAGAGCGCTCAGCACCTTGCATGTTCATTTTCAAAGGCCTTGTATAGATTAGGTTTTAAAGATGTGATGTTAGCATGTATTAGCAAACAGGTTATAAAAGTCTAGAGTAGGGAAGGCACACTGCCTTTAACACATGCTAAGTAGGTTGAATCAATGTCTTGTTAACTCGACTAGCTCAGCAGAGGTTAACGGCAGAGGGTGGAATCCTGGCCCCATTGAAGTCAATGGTAAAACTCCCATTGGCTGAAATGGGGCCAGAATTTCCCATAGGGGTCCTTGTTTACACTAGACTTCTAAAATGAATTAGCTCAAATATATTAACTTCACGCCTTTAAATCCCATCTACATGAGGTCAGAATGACCAGCTCACTGATGATGCATGTATAACAAACATTACTTTGCTAATTGGCTGAATCCTTTTGTCGACCATTGGGATGAGTCATAAGTTTAACTGCTTTTCTCCTAACTTGTAAATTTAGAGCAAAGCCTCCTGGTGACACTTCGGTGAAACTGGGGTTTTTGGTTTTGTTCTTCATACAGAGTAAAAGGGAGTAGTGCTGACCAAAAAATATCTCAACACCTCAACTGCTAGAAGAGGGCCTGATCCTCCCTGATTGAACTAACCTCGTTATCTCTAGCCTTACTCACTCTTGCTTGCATATTTATACCTGCCCCTGGAAATTTCCCCTACATGCATCCGAAGAAGTGGGTATTCACCCACGAAAGCTCATGCTCCTATACGTCTGTTAGTCTATAAGGTGCCACAGGACTCTTTGCTGCTTTTACAAAAAATATCTGTGAATACTCGTTAGAACTTCTAAATGAATCCATTTCTTAGGCCATGTTTATATCCCTTTTGTGGTGGGGAAACATTAGAACATTCTTGTGTATTGGCTCAAATGTTTATGGAAAAAGTTTGAAAACAGATGTCAGCATTTGTTCTCATTCCCTCCTGCTCACTTTGTGTGGTTATGTAGTCTGAGTCACAACCTAGTTAGTTCTAAGTAAATAAAAATATGTCCCTAGGGAGGTCTGTAAGGTAGAGAAATAAAAACACTTACAATTCACAAATTTGGGGTCAGATTGTGGAGACTTTACTCACTAGTGCAGAGTTGCTCACCTGAGTAGTACCATTGATTTGAATGGGACTACTTGTTTGAGTAACCACTCACCAAGGGGAGTCGGGGTTCATCGTATTTGTGTGGCCCTGCAGTGTGCATCGTATTTAAGTAATGATGGAATCTTAACACAGTGAAAAAGGGTCTGGCTAAAGTCACAGGCCAGCCAATTCACTGGAAGGGGTGTAGCTTCGTGAAGAAAAATGCGATCAACAGAAACTTTGCTAGTACACGTTCAGCTTTTCAAAACAAGGAGAAGTAGCCAGCAATAGTAGTGAACAAATTGTTCCGGAGATCAGTTGCAGTAAGCATTTTTGCAGCATGCTGGCTGGCCGACATGGAATTCTGTACA